TGAGTTCGGCGGCGTTATGTGCGTGGAGAGCGTCAACCGGGAGATGTCTCCCCTCGTGGACAGCATCGCCACCTGGATGACCGAGTACCTGAACCGGCACCTGCACAACTGGATCCAGGACAACGGAGGCTGGGTCCGCCCCCCGATCTCTCGTTCCCTCTCCCGCCTCTGGCCCGCAGCTGGTGGGGCTCCAGGGTGGGCAGTGACCGGGGGGTTGCACTCGCGTTGGGGGCAGCAAAAGGTTTGCCTGGGGGGCATCTGCACTGGCGTGTGCCGAAGCGGCATAAGCCTCTTGCCAGCTGTCGAGTTTTACCTCGTTGCGGGGTTACGGTGGAGCGGTTTGGGATGGGGAGAGCGGCTACAGCTCAGGAATGAAAAGGATGAGCGAGGCACCCTCTTCACCAGCGGTCTCTGCTCTCCTACCCCCGTCCACCTTTGCCTGCTGGCGGCACCAGCCCTGGCCAAGGCAGGGTCCCACAGTGGGGTGGGAAGGGGCAGCAGAGGCGCCCGTCCAGCTGCTGGGGGCAGGCACGTCACGGCAGGTCCCAGGCGCAGGGGCAACAGGGACCACGTGTATGTGCGTGCAGGCATCCCTGCCCGTTGGGGGTGACGTGCCAGGCAGGCATGTGACAAACACGAGATCCCGGTGCTACGGGCGGGCAGGTGGCCGTCGGTGCTGGCGTCTACAGCTGCGGTGGCAACGGGGTTTTACAGTAGAGGATACGTCTAGTGCGAAAAATCTGTCTTTGTCTCGAGATGAAACAAAGGTGCCAGGAGCCGTGTCCGTGGGATTGTTCTGGAAAATGAGTATTTGTTGTGATCCGATGGGTGACTGTGTTTCTGGGGTGGAGATCACCTCTGGCCGGGGCTGGCTTCAGCATCACCCAGAAAGGGAAGATTTCCACTTGTGGAAAATGGACAGCTTTTACACTGGTAGTCAATCAAAAGCCTTTCCTTTTTCTCCCTCTCTCTTTCCAAAATAAGTAACTGCAATGAAATTGGAAGGGTATCTCTTTCCTTTTTTCTTGTATTAATTAATATACTGTAGCAAAATGTGGTCCCAGCCGCTCCCCTGCAAACCAAACCTGTTGTATGTGTAAAACTTACAATATTAATGCGTTGGGGGAAAAAACAGTAAGAGTTATACCAAAGGAGAAACTTTACGTCTGGGCTGAGAGCTGGTGTAAGTCACCTAGAAATGGAGGTCTACTAGGTAGGGGACAGGCAATTTCAGGTCCAATCCCCTGTGAAATGCAGTCAGAGAGCTGACTCAATTACACAGCACACCTTTAAGAGGCGTGTGTAGAGGAATGTGAAGTACAGTATATGTTTCCCAGTTAACATGGTTTGCAAGCCCGGTGTTTGTGAAGCATTACCACAGTAAATTCTCAGCACTGGGTCTCTTGCAAAGTCAGCGTTAGGCTCAGTAACAGGCCGCCCGCATGGACCATCTCTGTTAAAAAATGAAGATGCTGCCTTCCCGCTGCTGACCCCGCCTGACTAAAGGGTATACGTGTCCGGGGATCCAGAGGACATCTACGTGCTGCTGTAACGGAGGGAGTAAGGCTTTGGGGCCCTTTTATATCCACATTGTGCACCTCCCAGAGGAGTGCTGCAGATCCCTGGCTACAAGTCACGTTGGAGGCAGGATCGTTCTCCTGCTCTCCCCTGCTTCCACCAAGAAGAAAAAAAATTCAAGATTCCTGGGGCCAGAAGGGGGAGCAAAAAAATGTGCGTGCGTGCATGTGTGTGTCTGTGTATTTATATACATATATACAAATATGCTTACATACACAGATGCACACACACACACATATATATATATGCACACACACACATAAAAGGACTCCAGCGCTTAGTGGTTGGGACCACACTTGGGAGAGGGAGACCTATCCCCTGATCCCCTATTTCATGGATCACTCCAGAGGGTTTGTCGGTGGGTTTTTTTTCGCGAAGCAGATAACGGGGGGAAAAAAAAAATCTGCAAACAGTTCAGGCTTTTGGAGACCTTAGCTGGTTAAAAGGCGAGCAGCTAAAGGGTTAGGGATTTTGCGATTGCACTTCTGGGCTGGGATGCCTAACTTGTGCGTAAGTCCCTCCTCAGGCTGGAAGCCCTTTTGCGGAGCTGGGGCCCTCGGTTCGCTCCAGAGCCAGTGAAGTCATTCTGTTGACTCCAGTGAGCTTTGGATCAAATCCGTAAGCATGCTGGAGATGTATTGTCCTGTGAGTGTATTGTGTAAAGAGAGACATAAATAATGAATAAAACTGAGAATGTGAAAAGACAGGTGTTACTAGGCGTGATTGGCCAGATGAGGCGAGAGCTGGAGCTGTTTCTTGACCGTTAGAAATACAAGAAACTCAGGCTATGAACACTGACTGCCTTTAAAAGGAGAAGATGCTTCTTATCGATAGCCATTCAGTTGTTTATTGAGGTTTCCCATAAACAAAAGCTCCAGAGTTTGGATGGATGTGATGCCATTTACTGCCGCGTGTGATTTGTAATGTACATGTGGAAGAAGATGTGCAAAATATTACCCCAGGGTGACTTTTGCCTGCCTGCCTGGTAAATGGCTGGTACCTTTGAGCCATGGGATTATTAAACACAGGCAAAACCTTCTAGCTGGTTACAAAGAGCAAAAGACTAACATGAAGTTGCAAACACAGCTTTTAGGATCCTCTCTTCAGACAGAAGAAATCAAGGATGGCACGGGGCAGTGGATTTTTCTTTTTTCCTTTTTCTAGCTTTCAGGATCAGTCAGCGGAAAAGCATACCTTAATATACGCACTCGGTCTTCAGCTTGGCACTTGCACCACGCCCCATGTACGAACCTTATTAAATTTCCGAAGTAGCTGATCACCTTGCAGGTGGTGATGCTTTGTAGGACCTCGGCACAGCTGCGTGCAAGATCTCCCTGTCACGCGCGTTCCTGCAACAAGTGGGAGCGCCAGCTGTTGTAGCCTTCTCCTCCTTTACGTTGAGGCTCCCCGGTATGTTGCGGAGTGGTGAGTTTATTAGAGACTGTGGAGCAGTAGAGAAGAGAGCATCGGAGTTAGTCATGAGCATATGTTACACAGTGAGTAAGTTGTACTCTGTTGTAAGCTGTACAAAGACAGCATGTGCTTTGAGTCTATTGTATGGGCCTATGTCTTACACTCAGGTCTGAAGTTTGGTTGAAATGTCTTTCTTATTTACCTGTTTCTTTTGAATCGGTTCTATAAATTGACAGTGTATTTTCAGGACATGAATTCTTTATATTGCAAGGAAAACGAAGAAGGAAAGAAGCGTATCGATGGGCAGGTTGGAAGGGATATAGCTGGTGAAGTATAAACTTTAGGCAGTAGACATCGCTGTTAATGGTGTCTGGGGATTGTTAATACCCTTACAATACACAGCATCATGGGCTTGTTCAAAACTTAGAAAAAGCAACAGATGGGGACTGCCTGCACAGAGGCTGTGTTATTAGCTTGTGGTTCTGGTGGCAAATAAATGCAGCTTTCAAAGATTTTCACGTAGGCCAGGATACCACAATATTGTATTTTGGCCTGATAACATCTTAATTGTGTTACAAAAGAAATAAGAGGAGAACCAGCTCATCTCTGCAATTTTGTCGTGCTTGGTATAATGTATGCTTTCTGATTGACAACTTAGTGGCTTCATTTCATTTTTTAGAACTGCAGAAGGACTGGCTTGGCAGCAGGCTGTCGCCTTGGTGACTTTTGACTTTGATGTAGGGAACATTGAAGTGATGCAGCCGGTGTGCGGGAATGTCTTGCAGTGATGGGTTCCCTCTTTGGGCACACAACCTAACGTACGTGGGAGCCATGCTCAGCTCTGGGCGCTTCTAGTCCAACATATGGCTTCCTCCCCGAGCTCTTCAAGAAACAGCATGAGAGCTATAGAAGGAGACACAGGCACTGTCATATATGTGTAGACAAGTACATTTTTGGTGTAAAGAATGTAAATAAGCCCAGGTGAGAGAAGCAGCAGCGTGTTGAAAATTCAGCCAAGAAAGCATCATTTTAACCGACAATATTTACATTTCCACCAGGAATGTGATGGTTGTGTGTTTTCATCCGATTCTGTTCTTCTATTGCGGTTCTTTATTCTGTTCGAGAGTTAAGGCCAGATATGGGGAAGGATTTAGATGTCTGAAGTGGACCTTAGGTGGAACGTAAGTGCTTGCAGCCTCTGAGTGCCTGCCTAGCCAGAATGGTGGCAGAAGTCCCTGGCTTCTCGCCGTTCCTACGCCAAGCCAGCTGGGAGCTGCTCCTGCCTTGAGAGAGGGGAGCCGCTCGGCACGCTGTGGGGGACACCGTTCCCAAGAACCTCCGTGTCCCAAAGCTGGCAGGCATCCTCTGGCCCGGCTGCTGTCACTCACATGCCATCCTCACGTGCGAATGCAGCCGGGGAGAAGCCCCTGCTTTTCCTGGTGGCTCCTTGGTTAAGGCCTCTCCTGAGGTAACGGGAGGTTTGCCTTCGAGACCTTGTCCAGCCTGGCAGGGGGGTATACACCCACATCTACGGCATCTCAGGAGGCTTCGCCTGCCAGATGGCTGCTGGTTTTGCCAAGGTGTCCTCCCCTTTGGCAACAGGGCTCCTCCTCCTTCTGCAGGGGTGAGATTTCATTTGGTGGAGGAGGAAGAACCGGGGTGTCTAATTCCCGCTGTCTGATGTGTTTTCTCAGGTGGCTGTCTACAGCCAAATGAATAAATGCTTCTTGGACCAGCAACTAGACCCCAGGTTTCCCTTCTCCTGGGTTGACTGCCCTAGTCACTGAGCTTCCTCTTTTTTTTTTCTTTTTGCCTAGTAAATCATTAATTCTCTGTGCTCGGTGGCACGCCTTGGAAAGGAAGTGTGGAGAGTCGCCGTGCCCCGCGACGGTCCATAGCCCCCTCATGAAGGTGAGGGATGGCAGATGTGTCTGCCTCCAGGACAGTGCTAGAGGTCGTGGATATCGGTGTGACGCAGGGGCCTTTCCGTGCTTGTGCGTGGGGCACTGACCGAAATCTCATCCCTTTCGGACTCTGGAGCTGCTCTCCCAGCAGCTCAGCCAGGCACCCACCTGTGCAGCACGTTGCTTCTCTTGCAAGTCCTGAGCAAAAGCCTCGCTCGTCCGGCACGGGACGGTGCCT